AGTCCTCCCCTCTAAAAGCATAGTTGGATGGGGGATTATGGGAGTGGGAGTCCTCCCCTCTAAAAGCATAGTTGGATGGGGGATTATGGGAGAGGGAGTCCTCCCCTCTTAAAGCATAGTTGGATGGGGGATTATGGGAGTGGGAGTCCTTCCCTCTTAAAGTCACAATGGTTGAGCCGCAGTTCTTCGGTCGTTCTGAAATCTCTTTATTTCCTGCCCCGTTTCAGTGCAATGGGAACTGTAGTCCTAGACGGACAGATCTATGTTTGTGGGGGCTACGACGGCACCTCCTCCCTGAACTCGGTGGAGGCCTATTCGCCCGAGACAGACAAGTGAGTATCCCTGAATGCCATTTGTGAGGTGTGTTTGCCACTGCCGCAACTTCCCCCCCACTCTCCTTTGCTGACCTTGTGAAGGTGGACGGTGGTGACACCTATGAGCTCCAATCGCAGCGCGGCCGGCGTCACCGTCTTCGAAGGCCGCATCTTCGTCTCCGGCGGACACGACGGCTTGCAAATCTTCAATAGCGTAAGTCTGTTTTTTGGATCTTAGTTTATTTCTGGCCTGCTCCCCCCCCCCTCCAAATCCATGTCGGCAGAAGTTCTTGCTTATTCCCAACATTAAGAAGAGATTAAGAACCCCCCCCCTCTCTTTGTCTGGCATGGGATGGGGGTCTCGACCCTTAACGGGTTAGGACTAGATGACCTCCAAGGTCACTTTCCCATTCTGCTGTTTCATTAAAGACCACAATTTCCCCAGAGGAAGAATCTGAAGCTGCTAACCGTATTTATTTATTTCTTTCAAGCAGTGTAACTTCTTATTTTGTTATTTACTGTCTATTTAGGGGTTAGTTATAAACGGGGAGTTCTAGTCTCACCTTAGGCATGAAGGCCGCTGAGTGACTTTGGGCCAATCAGCAGGAGACGGTGAGTTCTAGTCCTGTTTTAGGCATGAAAGCCAGCTGGGTGACCTTGGGCCAGTCACCAGGAAGAAAGTGAGTTCTAGTCCCACTTTAGGCATAAAAGGCAGCTGGGTGAGCTTGGGCCAATCACCAGGAGATGGGAGTTCTAGTCCTACCTTANGCTTGTTAAAATGCCAGCAGCAAATTTCTACGCAGGCGACTCACTGAACGTGGTGGAATTCTGGGAGTTGAAGTCCAGACATCTTCCAAGTAGCCAAGGTTGAGAAACACTGCTTTAGTATATCTACTACCAGTTGTGATTACCACATTAGTAGATGGCGTATCCATAGACAGAAAATGCAAATATAGAAAGATGATCATTTCGTATAGAATGAAATGATGGGGTTTTTCCCCCCCACTAAATTGGCGTCTCTTTATTTTAAATCGGAAGGCGCCCGTTTTTTTGTCCTTTGCCCACGATCCATGGGTGTTTTAATCCTATTTCTGCACGGAATGGAGGCAGGCCTTGATGATCTCAAGGGCTCCTTCCGAGCATCAGGTTTTATGAAAGGCAGCAACAAGAATTGTAGTCCATCGGTTTGGCTCGGCAATTTCCCTGGCTCTTGTCACCGAAGGTTGTCCGGGGGAAAAAAAAAAAATTGGACAGCCAGTCGTCTGAAATGGGATAGGGCCTCCTGCTCGAGCAGGGGGTTGGACTAGATGACCTCTGGGGGGTCCCTTCCAACTCTATAATTCTGTAAGGGTCTCCTTCTTGAGCAAGGGGGTGGACTAGATGACCCCTGGGGTCCCTTCCAACTCTGTCATTCCATGATCCTGTCAGTTTCTCCTGTTTTGAGTAGGGGACTGGACTAGATGACCTCCTAGGTCCCTTCCAACTCTGTCATTCTGTAAGGGCCTCCTTCTTGAGCAAGGGAGTGGACTAGAGGACCCCTGGGGTCCCTTCCAACTCTGTCATTCCATGATTCTGTCAGGTTCTTCTGTTTGAGTAGGGGGCTGGACTAGATGACCTCTGAGGTTCCTTCCTCCGAGATCCCTTCCTATAAGGGCCTCCTCCTTGAGCAAGGGGTTGGACTAGATGACCCCTGGGGTCCCTTCCAACTCTGTCATTCCATGATTCTGTCAGGTTCTCCTGTTTGAGTAGGGGGCTGGACTAGATGACCTCCAAGGTCCCTTCCAACTCTGTCATTCTATAAGGGCCTCCTCCTTGAGCAAGGGGTTGGACTAGATGACCCCTGGGGTCCCTTCCAACTCTGTCATTCCATGATTCTGTCAGGTCCTCCTGTTTGAGTAGGGGGCTGGACTAGATGACCTCCAAGGTCCCTTCCAACTCTGTCATTCTATAAGGGCCTCCTCCTTGAGCAAGGGGTTGGACTAGATGACCCCTGGGGTCCCTTCCAACTCTGTCATTCCATGATTCTGTCAGGTCCTCCTGTTTGAGTAGGGGGCTGGACTAGATGACCTCCAAGGTCCCTTCCAACTCTGTCATTCTATAAGGGCCTCCTCCTTGAGCAAGGGGTTGGACTAGATGACCCCTGGGGTCCCTTCCAACTCTGTCATTCCATGATTCTGTCAGGTCCTCCTGTTTGAGTAGGGGGCTGGACTAGATGACCTCCGAGGTCCCTTCCAACTCTGTCATTCTATAAGGGCCTCCTCCTTGAGCAAGGGGTTGGATTAGATGACCCCTGGGGTCCCTTCCAACTCTGTCATTCCATGATTCTGTCAGGTCCTCCTGTTTGAGTAGGGGGCTGGACTAGATGACCTCCGAGGTCCCTTCCAACTCTGTCAACTCTGCTTTAGGGACCTCG